TAATATTGTGAAATTTTATTATAATTTAAAATCCATTTCCTATTTGAGTATATAGTAAACTGTCATTTATTTTTATGAAGGCAAAGCTGTATTTTCAGCATCATTACTCCAGTCTTCAGTGTCACATGATTCTTCAGAAATCATTCTAATATGCCGATTTGCTGCTTATAAAACATTTTTGATATTATTATCAATCCTGAAAACAGTTATGCAGCTCAATATGTTTTGTGGAAACCTTGATAATTATTTTTAGGATTCTTTGATAATTAGAAAGTTCAAAAGAACAGCATTTATTTTAAATATAAACCTTTTGTTACATTTTAATTGTCTTTACTTTTGATCTATTAAATGTGTCCTTCTTTGCTGAATAAAGGTATTTTTTCCAAAACTTTTGAACAATAGTGTAGGTCACAAACCGATATGTATTATAAGTACGTGGTTTGCCATTTAACATAGTCAAAGCATAAAAGGCCTTCAATCAGAGATATGTGCACTTACGGAGGGACCTTGTCAGCACACCGGCATGCTGTGTCAGGACAAGAGATGTGACCCAGGGGTAGAAAGGTAATTACCGCCATCATCACTCAGCAAATAAAACCCCCACAGGTCCTGTGAAAAAGAGCCTCTCTCAGAGGAGGACATAATCTCTTCCCCATAAACCCTTCATGCCATTTAGAGCACAGCAACAGAACACACAGCTGATTTATCACTAATAATGTGAAATAAATCTCTCAGCACAGAAATGCACAAAAAGATGATGAGAGATCACATGCCAACCAATCGTTGCGCGAGTAGATCTTTTCCACTGCCGCCTGTGACAAGTACTTTCATATGACTTCTGCCTTTGAAGATCCAGTACGAAATATAGGTCAAGGTCAGTTCTCTTTTGAATTAGTCTTGCAAACTTTACAGAGACGTTCTTTTAGCTTGGACATCTTGACGTCTGAGGCTTGAGGGTGTTTACATGAGTCTTTAATTATCCGCCTATATACACAAACAATACATGCTTTGAAATAGTGCATGTGTAATATTGCTGGTGACTGTTATCCAATGCGTCACACATGCATGTGTGCCTTTATAGTGCCATAAAAGGCATTCACATCTTTGTTGGGTCTACTTGTGTTGATAACTCTACATCCTCTGGTAACATTCATCAGGAACCGTAAAAAGGGATGATGAACCAAAACAAGTAACGGCAGATTTCAAGTTCATTTCCTTGTGCTGGTACAGCTTCCACACAAACACAAACTGCAATTTTTAATTAATTTATTATAAGAATTTGTATATATTAATCTATTTCATGTATAATTATTAACTGACTTTCTGTTTAGAAACAAGCTGCTTGCCATCTAAGATTGACGATGAATATCATCAGTAGACTTTGTGAGGTATAAACATCACATGCATTCCTGTCCTTCAAGGACATGAGCTTGGAGAACTCAAAATACCCCGACAGGAGAATAAAGGCTGAGAGGAGGGGACTGGATCTACAGAATCTGTGTGGGTGTTAAGCATTGTCAATCCTCCAGGAATAAATGTGTTTGGAAGGGTGTTTGTATATGTTATAAGGGCTGAAGTGTTTATTTAACACCTCATCTGTCAAAATGAATACAGGAGATGTGTTTTCTAAAACTTGGACTCTGTATATACCATCTTTTGGACAGTATGACACATTTTAAACCCCTGAATGGGACATGGTGGCCTTGAATTAGGCCAGCGCCCTCCCATTCATATTTACAGAGAGTCTCAATGGTGACTGGCTTACGTTAAATTCAATATTGGCTAAGTTCCCTGTTCAAGAGTTGTGAAAACTGGTAGTCTGTTGCACACAAATGTAAAAAAGCGCTTTTTGAAAAACGGGCTGAAGGACAGATTTAAACATGAAGTATGAGGGTTTTCTGAGCACTGTGAAACAACAGATATAAGCACAAATATTTTTTAAAAAAGGTTTCATTTTTTTTAGGGCCCTATGAAATCCGTAAAAAAATTTCTAATTCTGTTTTTTCCATTAAATTTTTTCTGTTTTAATTTTTCTAGACTCTGTTTTAACGGTTAAATTAAATATTATTTATCAAAAAGCATGTCTAATTAATTGAAATCAGGAAACTTACAATAATAAACAGCAATTTATAAAAAATTTAACAAAAATTTAATTTTTACGGTCCCATGAAATGTTTTATTTTTTCTCAAATTATTATTATTTTTTTTAACCAAATTTTGTTTTCCATTTTCCATTTTAATGGTTTTATTAAATATTAATAATCAAAAGCATCTCTAATTAATTGATTTTTTAAAATAATTTATTATCATTTAATTTTTTTATCGACACTAGGGGTGTGACAATACACTTAGCTCACGAGATGAGACAAAATACAGATACTTGGTTCACTAGAACGAGACAGTCGTGTTTATAAGAGCAAAAAATTCTGATTGGCTAGTAATGTTAGTTTGGTTGAGAGTGAAAGCTGTGCTCCTCTCATACCATTGGTAGGCGAACTCATGGTCTCGAAAGTGATATCAACAAGTTTTTTTTAAATGTAGGATTATTTTTTTCGCAGCCAAACACTGCACGCCGGAGATCCGGTGTAGTGCCGAAATTTGCGCCCTGCCAGATTATGCACCCCCTAGTATTGGTAGGTTTAGGAGTAGGGGTGGGGTTGGGATTAGGCAATCAGGTAGCGATTTCAACGAGGGGGGGCATAATCTGGCTTTCTTTCAGGTTGAAGGGAGGGAGGAGGCAAACACGCGGATTCGCTTTAGGAGTAGGTGTGGGGGAGGGGTTAGGAATAGGATTAGGGTTGGGATTAGGCAATCAGGTAGCAACTTCAACGAGGGGGTCTGGCAGGGGTGCAGAATTCGGCACAACACCGGCACGGTGCCGGAGAACTTTAAGCCCTGAATACTGTGTTGTGTATTTAAATTTTTCTAATAAATAAATTCTTCTAAATATTTTTTTTCTGGTAAATATTCATTTAAAAACAATGTTTTATTAGTAATTTTATTAGTAGTAGTAGTACTATCCTTACATTAAATAATATTTCTGTCACGGTTTCTTCAAGTTAAACTAGGGCTGTGCAAAAAATCGAATGCGATTTTCATGCACATCTTGCACTCCAATGTGGCAGCAGAGTGTGGGATCATCAGCTCCAGAACAAAAATAAAACTGTCAAAAGTCTTTTGCCTTTGATTACGCACAGGCGAGTCCCCACTAGTAAAGCGAAAGAGATGATCAGTTCACATGCGCTGCCGCTTCGCTTGATCTGAGGTGTCTACAGCGATCTATCACGCCACATTAAAGAGCGCCAAAACTGTATTTATTGCTTAAATTTCCTAATAAAATGGACAGAATTTTAAATCTGAGACTTATGTACAAAGACAACGCACAAAGCTTAGCTCATTGCGATTTATTGGATGGGAGGCGCACTATATGTACTGTTCATTCATCAACTGCAAACAGCATCGATTGGGATTTAAGAATCAATATTGGTTCATAAAAATTAGAATTTTTTATTTTTTACCCAGCCCTAGCATATTTTGTTGTTTTTAGTGTCCTCCGCTGTCACTGCGGTGTTGAGCATGAAAAGTGAAGCACTGTCTCTGTTTATAAATTTCCTAATAAAATGGACAGAATTTTAAATCTGAGACTTATGTACAAAGACAACACACAAAGCTTAGCTCATTGCGATTTATTGGATGGGAGGCGCACTATATGTACTGTTCATTCATCAACTGAAAACAGAATCGATTGGGATTTAAGAATCGATATTGGTTCATAAAAATTAGAATCTATTAAAATTGAGAAATTGTAGCATTTTTTCTTGTTTTTAGTGGCCTCTGCTGTTACTGCAGGGTGTGTGTTGAACATGAAAAGTGACGCACTGTCTCTGTTCATCTGTTCTCTTCAAAAATAAATAAATGCATAAGCCTATATGCTCGTCCTGCAGGTTCATTATTAAAAATTAAAATGTGAACAAAAATACAAGCCATTACATGTGTTATTATAATTAAAATATGAAAATTAAAAAATTCACATTTAAATTGTCTTTTTGGGTCTTAATATTCACAGACACTAGTCCATATTTAAGTGTACGGATCTACTTTTGATGTATCCATCCAAAATTTCATGACATTTTGCGTTATACAGTAAATTCTGTTTTTATGACTGGATTCCACGATTCCGTCCACATTTCAGCATTACGGAAATCATAGGGCCCTAATTATTTTGTCTCAGTGGCCTCAAAGACCAATTGTCAAAGTCAGTTAAAGGATTATTTTTGTTCAGTAAATTCAATCAACAATAATAGTGGTATACCATAAAAATTAACTTGTGCCTGGAGTTTTCAGTGAGGAACAATGGTAGAAAATGGGTTAGGTTTTGGAGGATTTAAAAGCAGAAACGTGTCAGAAATAAATGACTTACATTAAAGGCTGAAATACACTACATTTTTAAATCTGAAGAGATTTTAAAACACTAGGCATTGTATACTTGTAGAATTTGTAAATGGAAATCATTCACTAAACGACTAAGGATCACTCACTACCAGACCTTCAAGTTACTCTAAACAGAACAAACTTGAGTATAAACAAACGCCTTGTTACTAGGAGACACGCGACAAAAGATAACAATGTGTTCTAAAATCAACTCAAAATATCAAACATGGTTGATATGGCTGGCTCTGACTTTCGGTATAGTGACAACTCCTCCAGACTGTAAACCAGGGAAAAAATCTGGCCAAAAGTCATGCAGTGTAATCCCGCTTTAGGTATTCTATTAAAACTTGTGTATTACATGAGCTGTAAAGCGGTTTAAGTAATTTTTTACAGTGGTTTCAGGCTTTTAAGCTTTAAATTAAGCTTTAGTATTCTTTAAGGTTAATATTCAATTTTTCACACTAAAATAATTTTATTACACATACTGTTTACTTATTGTTTTACTTTTTTTGAAAAAAGTGAGCATTTTAACATTTACAGATTAGCCCTCTTCAAGAGAACAAAATCTTCACTTCCGCTGGTTAGTCCAGTGTCCAATCACATGATCTGTTGAGGCAAAGTCACGTTTTTAGTTGAGCATCCAGGAATTTGTTAAATGTGTTTTAGTTTATGTACATTTTACACAGAATAAAAAATGATCTGCCTCAATTAAGAGTTTTTTAATGTGAATTATAAGATTTTATGCGCATCTTGGTTTTTTCCATCCAGCATTTTTTAATATACAAATGCTGTCAATTGAGCTTAGCTTGTACTGAACGCATAATATTCATTTAACAACCATAATTACAAGCTTCTAGAGAAACATGCTGTGTGTTTGGGTGTTAATCTAATACCTGATGTGCACTTGTCTTTTTCAGATGGCCCAGGCTGCCTATTCAAGACTCAAAAGCAACAATTGTACCATGGCTCTGACAATGGCTCCCTCCTGGGAACGCCGGTGAAGGGAGAGCTATCTCAAGGTTGTCAAGAGCTTAATCTCATGCCAGGCTTCCGAGGGGTTGTGCAAATCTTGACACTCTTTTCAGAGCGATAAAAAAGTCTGAAAGATAGAAAAGGGTTAGAAAAAAACGAGGTCTTGCTGCCTTGGCCTACAGTAGAAGTCCACACAAGGTGGTCTGTTGTTTTCAAGGCTGAGAACAACGTATCATGTCTGCTGGTCTGGTCAGCTTTCTCACTTTGACAATAAGAGTGAGAGTGACTGGGAAATCTAACACTCATCTCTTTGTCTGCGGAGAAAAACTAGAACGGCAGCCTACAGACTGCACGGCTCCTGTGTTATCACTACAAACCTCCTCTTCCCTTTTTTTCCACCCCTGACTCCTCTTCTCTTCGCTGAGACATAAACTCCTTTATAGTGCATAGTATGTGGGATTGAACATGGAAGCAGGTAAAGTAATACCTGCAGAGGGCACAGAAAGTGCATTCAGGACAAGAGAAAGAGGGCTGATAAGACCCCGGTTGGCGATGGAGAGCATGGCCCTACACAGATCTGTCCATTTGTGTACTGACCCAAAATCCCATCAATGGTTTTATCATGTCATTAGCAGGAAAACAAAGGGTGTCTTGCACATTCTAATTAGCGCTATACCAAAGTATAATTTTTATACCAAACAACGATGACAATTTTTATACCAAACAAAATTTTCCTTTGCGTTTTTGAAAAGTGTTCAATACAGATGACAACATTGTCAAAATGATCTCCATTCACATGGATCATCGAAAATGACTAAAAACGCTGTATTATGGATGCCAAGCCAGTAGTTGGCGATGTCACTTTGTAAAGAAACACTATGCACCTGTACACATACCTATAGACTGAAAACATAATAAACATGCGCATGATGTCACAGTTTTCACGAATTCGCATTTTTGTAGTTTACATGATAACCCAACACTCTGAAAACCCATTTTCAAAAGTTTGTTTTCAGGCCCCCAAAATGCCACTTATGTGTAAAAGCCATGCTAACACTACAAGAGTTTTAGGTCGATTTATCCCTGATTTCCCCTCCCGAGAATCGGAGATAAAATATTGTTGAGGACCTCGGTCGGTTTCCGATGTTCGGTGTGCATTATCTGGTAATGTGAGGCATTTACAGATCAAATCTTGCACCTCCCGATCTGGGGTGCCAACTATGGTCGCAAGTTCCGTCGTTACCAACATGGTTCAACGATTCGATGTTTCCTGAAACCATAGTTCAAACGAACATTCGCAAACAGCGTCACAAACTTATGTGGTTGGAACTAGAGTTGACTTGTGGTTAGAAGCATAGTTTCTTGTTAGTAAGACATACTGGCTTAAATAAATATGTTCTTGGGCACAATAAGCAAGCTAACATGCAGTACAATCTATATATATTCCATTCTATCTAAATATAAATGCATTTCAATCTATATTTTGTTTGTGCGATAAGCGCCATTTTTTGAAGAGTGTGCATGTGCATAAATACCTAAGGAAACCCTTAGTATGATGTAAGAGGGAACCCGCGATGAATCAAATAAAGCAAAATGACAGGGAACAAAAAATATTAAATTAGTCATCAGGTGCCATGTTCAATACAGCAGCATCTTAGAGATCTCTAATCAGTTAAATAGCAGAAGTTATTACTCCACCACATGCATGTGATGTCATTAACACTGGCCCTATGTTGTTGAACTAATGTGGTTCAAACGACGGAGATGCAACTGTGTTCGGGAAACAGTTGTGACTAGGTAGTTCGTTTCCACAACAATGCATCATACTATGGTGGTTAATCAGCGAGTTACGTTGTTGTATGGGAAATGCATCCCTGCTCGCACACAAATTGGGGCCGCCCCAATTAATATCAAACATGTTTGGGTTACACTTTATTTAAAGGTGTCCTTGTTACATACATTTAAGTACTGAGTAATATTAATTAACTACATGTACTTACTATATGGTTAGGATTTTTAGGGTTGTTTGATTCAGGATTACTTGCATGTAATAATGCATAATTAATTGTTATTATAATAGTAAGTACATGTAACATGTACAAGGACAAGGACACCTTAAAATAAAGTGTTAACCATGTTTTATATTTAGGATTTTAAATTGGGATGATGACATCTATGATTATTACATCAGTACTTTCACAATAGCCAATGCGAGACTGCAAAACAGGCTGCTGTATGGGCCCGTTGGATAGTGGAGATGGAGGATATTGCTTGTGGAAGTTTTGCAATAATAAAACTGTCTGTATAATGTGTCAAAAACATACCACAACCATAACAAAAAAAGAGAAGCGCTAGGGTGAAATCGCCTCAGTTTTGAATGGGTGAGTGTAGAAAGGTGATAGATAGCGTCCAGTAAGAACTATTGTTCCAACCACTAAAGATAGATTCAGAAATAACCTGCCTGATTTATCTCAACTGGTCTGTGTCCCGCTTATCTTTAGGTCACATCCCAAAACCATTCAAGCTGGCGGTTATTAAGCCTCTTATTAAGAAACCACAACTAGATCCTAGTGAACTGGCAAATTACAGACCCATTTCAAATCTTCCGTTTATGTCTAAAATTTTAGAAAAAGTTGTGTCTGCTCAATTGTGCTCCTTCCTGCAAAAAAATTATCTCTATGAAGAATTTCAGTCAGGTTTCAGGCCCCACCATAACACAGAAACTGCACTTGTTAAAATTACAAATGACTTGCTTCTTGCGTCAGACCAAGGCTGCATGCTAGTTTTACTTGATCTTAGTGCTGCATTCGACACTATAGATCATGACATACTCATAGATCGATTACAAAACTACACAGGTATTCAAGGGCAGGCTTTAAGATGGTTTAGATCCGACCTGTCCGATCGCTACCACCTTGTTCATTTAAATGGGGAGTCATCTCAATTATCACCAGTAAAATATGGAGTGCCACAAGGATCTGTCCTAGGTCCTCTGCTATTTGCAATATACATGTTGCCCCTTGGTAATATTATCAGAAAATACGGGATTAGTTTCCACTGTTATGCTGATGATACTCAACTATATATCTCAACAAGACCAGATGAAACTTCTAAATTATCTAAGCTAACAGAATGTGTTAAAAATGTAAAAGATTGGATGACCAAAAATTTTCTCCTATTAAACTCGGATAAGACAGAGATATTACTTATTGGACCAAAAGACAGTACACAGAATCTCGTGGATTACAATTTGCAACTAGACGGATGAACGGTTACTTCCTCTACAGTCAAAAATCTGGGTGTTATATTAGATAGCAACTTGTCTTTTGAAAATCATATTTCCCATGTTACAAAAACAGCATTCTTCCATCTTAGAAACATTGCCAAACTACGAAATATGTTACCTGTTTCTGATGCAGAAAAGCTAGTTCATGCATTCATGACCTCTAGACTGGACTATTGTAATGCACTGCTAGGTGGTTGTCCTGCATCTTCAATAAACAAGCTACAGGTAGTCCAAAATGCAGCGGCTAGAGTCCTTACCAGGTCAAGAAAATATGATCATATTACCCCAATTTTACAGTCTCTGCACTGGCTACCTATTAAGTTCCGTATCAGTTACAAAATATTATTACTTGCCTATAAGGCCCTTAATGGGCTAGCTCCTGCGTACCTAACTAGTCTTCTACCACGCTACAAAGACCAAGGCTGCATCTCATTGCTAGTTTTACTTAATCTTAGTGCTGCGTTCGAAACCATAGATCATGACATATTCATCGATCGATTACAAAACTATACAAGTATTCAAGGGCAGGCTTTAAGATGGTTTAGATCTTACCGGTCTGATCGCTACGACTTTGATTATTTAAACGGGGAGTCATCTCTATCACCAGTGGAGTGCCACAAGGATCTGTCCTAGGTCCTCTGCTATTTTCAATATACATGTTGCCCCTTGGTAATATTATTAGAAAATACAGGATTAGTTTCCACTGTTATGCTGATGATACTCAACTATATATCTCAACAAGACCAGATGAAACTTCTAAATTATCTAAGCTAACAGAGTGTGTTAAAAATGTAAAAGATTGGATGACCAATAATTTTCTCCTATTAAATTCGGATAAGACAGAGATATTACTTATTGGACCAAAAGACAGTACACAGAATCTCGTGGATTACAATTTGCAACTAGACGGATGTACTGTTACTTCCTCTACAGTCAAAAATCTGGGTGTTATATTAGATAGCAACTTGTCTTTTGAAAATCATATTTCCCATGTTACAAAAACAGCATTCTTCCATCTTAGAAACATTGCCAAGTTACGAAATATGTTACCTGTTTCTGATGCAGAAAAGCTAGTTCATGCATTCATGACCTCTAGACTGGACTATTGTAATGCACTGCTAGGTGGTTGTCCTGCATCTTCAATAAACAAGCTACAGGTAGTCCAAAATGCAGCGGCTAGAGTCCTTACCAGGTCAAGAAAATATGATCATATTACCCCAATTTAACAGTCTCTGCACTGGCTACCTATTATGTTCCGTATCAGTTACAAAATATTATTACTTACCTAGAAGGCGCTTAATGGGTTAGCTCCTGTGTACCTAACAAGTCTTCTACCACGCTACAATCCATCACGCTCCCTAAGGTCGCAAAACCCTGGACTTTTGGTAGTACCTAGGATAGCAAAGTCCACTAAAGGAGGTAGAGCTTTTTCGAATTTGGCTCCCAAACTCTGGAATAGCCTTCCTGATAACGTTCGGGGTTCAGACACACTCTCTCTGTTTAAATCTAGATTAAAGACACATCTCTTTGGCCAAGCATTCAAATAATGCATATCATAATCTTGTACTGCAGTTATATCTGATCAAATGCACATTATTATTCCTTAGCTTGGGTTAAACAAATTAATTTTACTTGGTTGGAACAGCAGCTACGCTAATTATGTCTACTTGTTTCTCTGTTTTTGCCACGGGAAACTAGGATTTACACAAGCTTCAGTCTGGATCCAGAACACCTGAGAAGAGATGATGCCAACCCCTCAGAGGACCTCAGATGATGCCAACCCTGAAACAACCCACCAGATCCAGTCTGTATCCAGATCAGATGGTCACTGCAGTCACCCG